AAAGTTTCACCGCTAATTATTAAATTATCTAGTATCCATTACATATCCAGGGGCCAAAACATCAATTTCAGGATTTTTTTCCTTTCGGTTGAACTTTTCTTTCCGGAATTTAATTCCATTTTTTTTTCAATTAAATTCTTGGTTTACTTGGATCTGAATTTTTTGAGGGACTTTGTCGAACTTGCACTTCAAACTGCTGTTTGGCAATTTTTTACAGCGATAGCATCTGAGTTTGATTTTTTTTTCTTGCATACGAATTCCACGCGTTTCTCGAAGCATGTTAGTCTAGAACTTTTTTTAAAGTCATTCATCACTTTCTTTTTAAAGAGTCTAATATAAGGTTCAACTGTATCAAGAAAGCTTTAGTTGCATTCCGTAGGCATAAATTTAAAAAGTAGTTTCAAAATTTTTAAAGTTTGAAAATGAAGTTTCCCTCATGCACTTGACACTGGATAAATTAAATTTAATATCTTTTGTATGAGTAAGTAAACCAAGTTAACTCATTACAAGTCAATTTTGTAGTTGTATCATCAGGATACATTTTACACCGTCAGATAATGACAGATTATATATTTAACACGATACATTTATTAATTTATATATTTTTTATTGACTAAGAGTCGTGAAATATAATCCGTCACTATCTGCCGGTCTATCGCCTACGCACACGGTGATATAATTGGTGCTTAGCGTAAAATTAGCCACTGACAAGCGAGGCGGCTCGATGCGTACGACGATAATCTAGCATTTCCCGAGGTCACACCAAGACGACGCGCGGAATATATTTGCGTCGTAGCTGTCCGCCCTCGCTCTTAAATTAACGAGTGCAATGTCCACGGTTATTATAAATGTGGTACACTAGCTGCGTGTATCGTTTTTCAGTAGCGATCGGCTTCGTCTTATCCCCGATGAATTTCGATAAATATTCGAGAAAGCTAAATAGCGCCAAGATTCGCATTGAAATAAAACCAACGAGAGTCGCTGAAATTTGACGACGTATGGTCGTAATAAAGCGAGCGCAAGGAACATCTCTTTCATTAAATAAATCAAAACTTTTTGTTACATACGTCTCTTCTGAACGTATGTGTGTGCGCGCGCGCGGGAGCGATATATACACGCCATTGAGCAAATAAATCTCTCTCGCGTACTCTCGCGTACGCGCCTCCTTTGCTTTCTCGTATGCGTACGTATGTACCGGCAGTCTATCAAAGCTGTACATAATGGCATGCTATACTTTATTTAACTCGACGTCGCGTACGAATTTTCGCGGATGATTTTGCGTCGAGACTCGTGTCTTCCTTAAAATTTGCGGGAAATCCAAGCGCATAAATTCATTGTGTGTACATTGTTAAAAAGAGCTTGGTATTTAATGCAAAGTTTATGTAAAAGCAGACATTAAATTAAAGTAAGTTATAAAGTAATGAGAATTGATTTGATTTTTTACTCAAACTGGACTCAAAATGCATGAAAATTGAATTGTATTTAAAGTGTCGACCCTTAGATGTCGAGTACCTTTAAATCTGTATATCTGCAAGTGGAAAAGGGAAAATAATTTTATAATTAACGAGACGTTACGTTATACGTTACAGTTGCGTTAGTTTTCTATTATTTAAGAAAAGAAGGGAAATGATTTTTTGTCCATAAATCGCGAATGACTCTTTCGAAACCAATGGCAAGTTAACTCGAGCATCGGACTCTGCGTATACTCCTATATAAGTTTCGCGATCAAAATACGAGCTGTATACTCGAGGTGCCGCCGACGAGTCCGATGATAGGTGCATTCGATATACATAAATAAAATGGCCCACGAGGCCAAGAATAGAAAATCGGCGATATAAAACCAGTTTGCATCCACCCACCCGTTGCTGCCCTATGCATACACACACGCGTATGTATATATTGCTAGCTCTTTCTCGCACTTTATACACGTATATGTACATACGGCGTAAAAGAAAAATAGAGAGAGAGAAAAAGAGTCAACCCCACTCGCTTGACGCAGTCGTCGTGTTGGTCGTCGTCGTCGTCGTTTCGGTCCACCTGATGCGCCACACTGCAACGCGCGCCGCGTTTCTCTCGTGCCTCGCATTCTCGGCTCAGCCGACGCACTAATGCAACACATTCGCCTAATAATAAAGTTGTCGCCCGCGCACACGCACAGTAGTAGTATAGTAGCTGCCGAGAGCGAGAGCTTGGGCTGTTGCAAGCATCACACGCGCGTTTCGCAGAGTTCAATCATCCGAACGGGGGGGTTTCGAGTTGCCATTACTATATACACGTCGGAGAGAGAGAGAGAGAGAGAGAGAGAGAGAGAGATCTAATATTCGCGTGCGAGCGTTAATTGAAACGTACGGATTTTTGCGGTAAGCATCGCGCATCAATCACACGCGCGGATGAAAACCCTTCGCGAATGGCATACTAATATATGTAATGCAAGAAACTCCAATGTGTATTATGTGTGACTTCTCTATTACTGCGCGTCTATATTTTCTTTTTGCATTTTTAGCCCAGCAGCAGCAGCAGCAGCAGCATCAGCAGTGGCATCAACAACAGAGAAAGAGAGAGAGAGAGAGAGAGAGAGAGAGAGAGAGAGAGAGAGAGAGACGCGCGTTTGGATGCAGTTATAGACGCGTACGATTAATCATCGAGGACGACGCTCGGTGAGCCGCGCGCGCGCCCCGGCAGCGATCGCGCTGGCGTTGAGCAATCATTTTGCATGAAATCCGCGGGAGACTCGCGCGTTTGATTCCTCTCCGCTTGTGACTCGGCGCTCATTCGTCTTACTCTCTTCTCTCTTTACCCCTCGCGCTCGCTCGGTTCGGCCGCCGAAAATTTTACAACTCGAGGATTAAGTTGCACATTTCTCGGAGCAGCAGCAGCGGCGATTAGAATGCAGTAAGCGCAAGTGCATCGGAGTTTGGGGCGGGGGAATTAATGCGATATTTACCGCGACGACGCGGATTGATCGTCCCTCTAAACTCTGTGCTGCCGTTTTATGTGTGTGTACTCTTTTACGATATGCTGGATCGTATGTATATATATAGGCACGCTGGATGACTGATTGCAGACGCTTTACCCGAGCTCGTGTGCGCGCCCGTTTCGAGTGAGAGATTATGTTATTATTAGTATTATTATTATTCTTACTGCTGCCCGCGCGCGATGATGATCTCGTCGTCCCGGAGCTGGAAAAGTGAATCTCCGTTTTATGCAACCCAAGCTCGATTTGCTATTTATATATCGCGCGCAAAAAGACAATTGGACCGAATAACGACGATCGCGATCGGTTTATTGATCCTACCACTGTAACGCGTATGTAATTGTTCATTCTGTCTGCGCGCACTGCGCAGTTCTCGCGATCTTTCGAGCGTGGCAAGGTTCGAACTTATTTTCTGAAAGAAATCATCCTCGAACATATTTCATCTTGATAAACTCGTCGCATCATTATACAACGATCGCCGAGATCGAAGAAAAAGTCACACCGAATACCTATCCGCCTCCGGGAGAGCTATTCGCGTCTATTATAACGACGATTCTCACGTTGTTACACATATCAGTGCGGTCCGGCCGAGAACGAGCCGCAGCGCTAATAGCGCGCGACACAAACTCTCATTAATCGGTCATTACGGGTAATTTTCGCGTCGTCGTCGTCGTCGTCCTCGTCGAGCTTTCTTTTCTTATTTCTCGCGCTGCAACCTCCGACGTTAATTGCGATTAAAGACGCGCGAGCCGAGCCGAGCCGAGCCGAAGCAGATAAAGAGACAACACAATGGGAGTAGTATATATATATGTATGCTCATCAGTGCGCGCGTATACCTCAAAGAACTCCCCCGTGCGAGAGCATTTATATAATAGCGACACCGAGGCGATGATAATAATGATGCGCGAGCGCGTGTATATAAATGTATGCAGCTCGGCATTTATATATATATAGGTGCTACGCGCTCGCAGGGAGCTGCTGTTGCTGCCGTTTGTTACATTCGCGGACTTGTATAGATATAGCTTTTCAAGCCCGGCCATTGTGCGGCCGTCAGTCGCGGAATAAAAAATGAGCGTCATCAGCGGAGGCTGCCGTTATTACGTAAAAAATCTACTGCTCTCGCGCCGAGCTTTTTATTTGTTTATTTTTTTTTTCCTTTTTATTTTGTGCCGCGCGTTCGTGCACGTATATACCACGACACCCGTGCAGTCGGTAAGTCCGTACGTGTGTGTGTGTGTGTGTGTGTGTGAGAAAAATGCACTGCTGCTGCGTCTTTATCGTCTCGTCCCGAGCTTGTTTGATGTATCTTTCGTAATAATAATACAAACGCGCGCGCGCGGTGCTTCGGGGACGATGATTAAACTGTGCAGGAAGCCGATTGCGCTCGGACCCGATACGACTTGCCATTGTAGGCGCGAGAGAATTACGCGCCGAGATGACGCATCGAGGCTCTGTTTTTTATTCAAATGCATCGCGTGATTTTCGTCAAACTCCAGAATCGAATTTTATGTAAATCGAACGAAAAGATAAAAAAAAAAAAAAGACGGACGCGTCGTCGAGCTATACCGCTGCCGCGATCCGTACATCCGTCGCGCGCGGGTTTCGAATCGGTACCCTTGGCAACGGGCGCGCGCGTCTCTCCTCCCCAAACAGCGCAATCGTCGCTTGTCGCCTGGCGCCGTAGTTCGTCTAGGCAACCGCCCGATTATTTATTATATTAGTCAGTGAGGCTCCGTTAACGTAAAAAAAGACGCGTTGATCGCAACACTCTCCTTTTCCTTAACCCTTAACCCTTTGTTTTTTCGGCCATTCGCGAAAAATTTTCGGCTCGTGTTATAAATCTCGAAATGAGACGTCACCGGAATTATTGAAAAAAAAAAAAAAATAACGCGTAAAAAAGAGAGAGGAGACCGACACAAGGACGAGGAGGAGAGAAAGAGAACCTCGGAACAACCCCCGTGGACGTACGGGAGCACGGACGAGTCCAAAGACGGCCGACGAACTGAATCGACGCGGAAGAAACGCCATGGCGGGCGGCAGAGTATCCAGGGGCAAGAAAGGAGCCCCCAAGATGTCCGGCCTCGTGGTGGCGGCTCTGCGGAATCTGCGCGACGCCCACGGCTCCACGGCCAAGGAGATCATGAAGTACATCATGGCCGAGTACAACGCCTCCGAGACGACGGTGCAGCGACAGGTTAGCTCTTTCGTTTTATCCGCTCATCAAAATTATTTCGCGAGAATTCATGTTCGAGGCTTCGGTCGATTTTCAACGTAATTGCTTAAAAGATTCACGAAGCTCGATTTTTGGGTTAGGTGACGTGCACAAATAAAATGTTGTGTTTTTTTTTTTGGTCAACAGCTCAGGACAGCCTTGAAGCGCGGCGTCGAGTACGGCATCCTGAAAAAGACGAACGCCGGCTACAGCCTCAACACCGACGCCGAGGTCATCGGACCCCTCGATCTGGCGCAAATGGACGCTTGCAGAAAAAAGAGTGAGCGCAATCGTCCTCTTTAATAACCTCTCTCGATGACACGAGGACCGACGAACGAACCTTTCTTTTTTTTTTCGTATTTCGCCCAGAACGCATGAGCTGCAGGCCCAAGCGCCGGCCGTGCTGCCCGAAGCCGCGCAGACGCTGCCCGCCCAAGTGCCCGAGACGGCGCAAGAAGAAGCCCTGCGGCACGTGCGCGTCGCGCGGTCGCCGCAGCGACTGCAGCAAGCCCGTGACGCTGGTGCACGAGGGCACGCCCACCCTCGAGGAGGACTCGAGCAGTCGCCAGGACGAGCAGGACCCCGAGAAGCAGAGCGTCGACGGCGACGTCGAGCGACAGCGACAGGGCTCGCGGAGTCGCAGCAATTCCAAGGGCATGAAGGGCGGCGGCGGCAATCGCTCGAGGAGCCAGAGCCTGGCCAACAGTCGCTACTCCGGCAGCGAGACCAACGACGAGGAGAATCAAGACGACGAATGATTAAATCCTTAGAATTTATACGTTTTTGGCTAGTCTCTCCGTCTCTTTTGTAACCTCGTCTTTGTGCTTTTTGACAAGTTTAGTTGTTTTTTTTTGACTCTCGCCTTTGCCGTTAATATTGTGTCTCCGTAAAGTTTTTTTTTTATTCTACAACGAGCCAATCCGCTCCCATGTTTGTAACTATTTGTATGCAATTATTGTAGTGAATAATGTGCGACCTTGCTGGCTGATGTTTTGGAGTAACCGTTCGCGCTGCGATACGAAAGCAGTATATAAATTCCTTGTGCTAATGTGCCTTATATACACAAATTGTCGTTTTATTCATCGTTTTTTTATCAGCGTAACCATCGTCATTAAAAGCATCGAATTATCGAACGTCGAATGCTGCTCCGTGGCTGAGCGACGCGTGAATCGAAAAGAGCTCTGCGTTTAATTGAGCAAACAAGCGTCCCAACAATAACCCCCGTTCGCGGCTGACTTTCTATAGAGTTCGCGAAAGCACATCGATCAACGCGTGCGCGTACGAGTAACGATGACAAGTTGTAACATGCAAAATCTGCCGCTGCTGCTGCTGCTGCTACCGGCATCGTCTCGCGGAAAAATCACAGCGCGCCGCGACGTGTCTGCATAATTCACGCGCTCTCATAATAGCGCACAATGACGTCCGAGATCCGTCAATCCGTGACAGCGTATCAATGGGTATAATCGCTCTCTCGCTCGCTGTAACGGCGCGATGTGCGCGTATCCTTTCTCAAGCTCGATTCTCGGCGATAATAAAGTGCCGCGCCGTGTGTATAAGCGCGAAAGAGAGAGAGAGAGAGCATCGAGAGGCGAAGAAATGATTAAATTTAATGATGGAGCTCGGGTGAGAGGCGGCTAAATCGCTTCTTCGGAAGCACTGTACACAACGCGGTATACGCATCTCATGCCTGTACAGCGCACTGCGCGAGATCGCCTATAGCGAAGGGTCGAACGTAATGTAAAGTATAGGTGCAGCGCATAGAATATTGATTCGGTAAGTTTTTTACGTGACTCTGGGCCACGTTTTGCAAAAACGATCCTATTTACTCTTGGAAAATTTGACGCGAACGTACTTCTCGCTTTATTGGATTTACCCGATTGCTCAAATCTATCTGCGGGAGAAGTTTAATCGTCGAGGGCTTGCAGCACGAGAGCGCATTAAAATGAACAGAGGGTCAAGTCTATTATTATTCGTTCTCGATCCATAATAACGATTCCTCGATGAATGCGTCGAACCACCGAAATTGCAGCTGGACGAGTTTTTAGCGCACCCCGGAACATTCACAATCGCGATTCGCCCATTATAACAGAAATGAACTCGGAAACTTGATCCACGCGTGGGCGTCGTTCGAGTTGAGGTTTTTTCTTAGCAATCGAACGGCAAAAACAATCATCTTTATTTATCTATTTCAGACGCCAAGTTTTCGGATTTTCTCACGCCTCGAGTCGGTTGCGATCGAGACTTGGCGATCGAGTGATAATCTCGCGCTCTCCAGCTCTCTCTCTCTCTCTCTCTGTGAAGCTCGCTTATCAGCCGCGCGCTAATATTTCGATAAATCCATTGAAAGCGCGGCAACATGCGTAGCAAAGTGAATTCGCGCGATTAATTTTTCGAGCTCTCGTGATGAGTAGCAGCAGCAGCAGCAGCAGCAGCAAAAAGGAATCTCCCTCGATCCGCGGGTGCGGTGCGTGCGCACCTGTACACTCGCGCACACTCGCGTAGTTTCTCAGCTGCACGATCGCCGGTAAAAGCTTATACGATGATATACTTAAATAATATACATCCTCGATCTCGTGCACTCGGCTAGCAGCGAGCTGCGTGTTAGTAACTAATATGTAATTCGCCGAGCCACGCGTATTATATACGTATACGGCTCGAGCCCGGTTACGCATTATTGCGTACCTTTTTTTTCTTCTTCTTTTTATTATTATTATTACATTTATGTATATATCTGCTGCTGGGGATCGAGTGCTAACTTGGCGCAGCGACTATTGGATAAGAGAGAAAGAGAGAGAGAGAGAGAAGATCCTGACGAGTAAATAGCATTTCTAGTTCACGACTGCGCGGCAGCTCGCGTGCCGCGGCGCAGAATCATGGCATATTTAACGGCCCCGCGGATAATAATAAGGCAAATTACGGCCTTGGGAAAAGTAAACTCGGTGCGCGCACCGGCTCGTGCATACGGAGACGCGCGAGTTAAAATCCCAATAAATGTCGTCCGCTATATATGAGCAGTTCTTTAAATAAAACGCATTTTTTGAGGTAGAATCGCGGCAAATTTTTTTTTCAACCTACGCGGATACGGACCCCCGGGAAATGTTTTTGGGGGTCCTAGGAACATGTAACCACGTAGGAACCATTGAAATTTCAATAGTGCTTATTTTCAGAGCTACTTTTGTGATTTAGGGCCGAAAAATCATGTTTTCTCGTAAATACAGCTAATTACTCAATTTCTAAGTCGCTGAAAAAGTATCAAAACTCATCTAAAAAAAATAACTGACTGCTGTGTTCGATAGGAAATTTTCTCAGCTTTCCAATGGTGGTGTCAGATTTTCCGATAAGTCACACATTCACCGAGAAAATCGCCATCAAACATGCCAAGCTAAATATCTCGAAAAACTCGGTACGGAAAAAGTGATCTTTGATGCCTATTTTTGATTTTTCCTCGTGAAAATGAAATTTATCGAAAAATCTGAATACGCTATGAGAAAGCTGAGGAAATTTCCAATCGAAAACATATCTTGATTCATTTTTTCAGTGGAATTACGAGCTAGTTTTGATTGTAGCGAGCCGAAAACCTCGCAACCGCGCTGAATCAGCTCGGAAACAGAAAACAGCGAACAAAGTAAAAGAAATTCCCATGTATAACATTGTAATTCGACTCAAAAAATAAATGAAGATATTCTTTCGATAGAAAATTTCCTCAGCTTTCTCATGGTGCAGTCAGATTTTCCGAAAAATCTCATTTCCAACCGAAAAAATCAAAAATAGGCATCAAAGATCACTTTTTCCGTACCGAGTTTTTCGAGATATTTAGCTTGGCATGTTTGATGGCGATTTTCTCGGTGAATGTGCGACTTATCGGCAAATCTGACACCACCATTGGAAAGCTGAGAAAATTTCCTATGGAACACAGCAGTCAGTTATTTTTTTTAGATGAGTTTTGATACTTTTTCAGCGACTTAGAAATTGAGTAATTAGCTGTATTTACGAGAAAACATGATTTTTCGGCCCTAAATCACAAAAGTAGCTCTGAAAATAAGCACTATTGAAATTTCAATGGTTCCTACGTGGTTACATGTTCCTAGGACCCCCAAAAACATTTCCCGGGGGTCCGTATCCGCGTAGGTTGAAAAAAAAATTTGCCGCGATTCTACCTCAAAAAATGCGTTTTATTTAAAGAATTGCTCATATACGCGTATGGGCCTTTTTATACGATCCTTATCATTTTTGAAAGGATACGCGCTAGCCGATTTTCTTTGTATTTATTTTTGCTCCTAATACGCGCAACGACGATTACAGTTTTATGTTCCCGCGCGCGCGCTGTTTGCACAGGTGTTGTGCCGCGATACGCATATAGACGCACTTAAATGTTTTATTCGCATTTCTCGCCGAATAATTAATATATCGAATATCGAATCTCTTTTACGTGTGGGGGCACTCTTATCTGCCGAAGTAGCCGAGAAGAAGCTCGATTTCTCGCGCTCGAAAGATCGAAAATTTTTATACTCTTCGAAGGAAACGCGCTACGAAATTATACGAGATCGTGAAATTATTATATCGAATAATATAGCTCGAGAGCTTTTAAATCAACATTATAAGTTTCCGGATGATGTATGCTCGTTAGGATTGATACTTAATGTACGAAATAACGCGCTGCTTAATTTGTGCCTAACGATGAGAATCGGGAGCTTCGATCGGTTGTGAGAATGGGCGAACATTCTTGGGGAAGATCGTGAGAATTCATTTTTTGGGAGGCTATATAAGCTCGAGTGATGAAAAGTACATTCCAACGTACTCGTGTACTTCCTAATGTATGCTTGTAACTGCACTGCCGATTGCTTCCTTACGACACAAGTTTTTTAAATGTTAATTGTTATATTAAATTTTTTTACACCGAGACGAATATCGTTTAATCCAATTGATCGAAAAAATTCAAACATTACACACACATACATCCGTGTGGAAAAAAAAAAGAGACACTCGACCTAAGAAAGCGCACAACAGAGTCGCGGCAATTTACACAGTCGGACTCTCTGCGCCCGATCCGTGTCGCGCGCTTCGTGCTCGGCGACATAAATCCTTCTTAATGATATCGCGTATCTCAGTTTCGCGCTCTCTCATGCGCGCAGCTACCAACCACCACCATCACCAACCATCACCACGACCATTACTACTATCTGCAACAACAACGACACGACGACGACGACGACGACGATTATAACCTGCGCGCGCGAGCCTCGGTATATATGCGTTGCACTTAACACGCGTATTTCGTCCGCGTGAGAACGGAACACGTATAGCGAGGCGTCTTATACGAGCTCTCGACACCCCACCCTCCCCCGCACTTTTTTTTTCAACTCGAATTTTTTCGACTTTCGCCCTCGAGATTCTATCGCGTCCTCCTCCTCCTCCTCCGACGTATTTTCTCGAGTTACTTCTTGACGCGCGCGTGCGTCATAATTGCGCGCGCCGATTCGAATCGTGCTTCGCGGGTCGCGCGACTCTCTAAGCTGCTCATTGCAGCGCGGAAAACAATGCCTAAACATATGCTCCGTTTACGCTCGTACACGCGTATCTCCGCATTATACGCGTGTCTCTCGCGATAAGTCCATAAATTAGGTATCGGCCTATTGATTTAGATCCATTGTTGCGTTGCGCTCGACACACGCGGTACCACATTGTCATTGGCTGCGTATATCGTTGACAAGCGTCTCTCCTGCGCCGCATGCTACACAGCTGCCGGTACACGATCGTATATCATATGAAAAATACAGCCGGATCATTGGATTCGCTGTAATAATAATGCTGCGACGCCCATGGAGTACGGCGGTGTAAGCAATACGTGTCCGCCGTAAAACAACGCGAAGCGAGAGAGGCTGAGAGATAAGCACAAACGTTGTGCGTTGTTGTTGCGACACGTCTCGCGCCTCACCCACACATCCAGTCGTATAGAGCGGTATATATACCTACATTATATATACGCAAGGCTCGCGAGATAGATACATACAGCTGAGTAGAGTCCTTATCATTGGTCGCGCGGGCGCGAGCTGCAAAGCCTGCGCATACGCGAGCCGCCCTCGTAAATCCGCACCTAGTGTACCAACGGCGGCAGCAGCAGCTAGCTGCGCGCATAATATAGGCGTGTGCACAACCGCGTGTGCGCCTTATATCGTTATATTAACGGGGCACAAACGCACGATAAATATTAAGATAAAAACACGACGACGACTGCTGCTGTTGCTGCGTTGCGGTAGCAGCGATCCGGCCCTTGTGCGTATATGTATACAGTGGAGCAGTACGAAGGAGGAAAAAAAAAGCTCCAAGGCGTGTGTAGCGAGAGAGAAAGAGACTGAAGATTAAGTAGAGAGTGTGTGTGTGCAGGCGTGTCCAGCAGCTCGTGTGAAACTCACTTCGCTGCACAATTCCGACCTAATCCTGGGGCTCGCGCGATTTAATTAGACGACGAGCAAGACGCGAAGTTGTCTCTTCGCCACGGCTATACTCGTGCGTAATAAGAGAGGCTCGACGCGCGTACATTATAAAGAAAGTGCGCGACTCGCGGCTAATTAGAAGATTCGCGCGCGCTCCGAGCGCACAGCGGGCGTAAGCCTTCACTTTTTTATTTTCTTTTACTTTAACGCGCGTTGATTTCACGAAAACAAGAAGCAACCCAAATGTGTGCCATTATATATATGTTGCGTGCGCGCGTGTTGCACTCATAACAATGAATTTTTATATTAATGAACTTGTACATCGACGGTCGTATGAAAATTGAGTTTCGGTCTGTGCCTTCTCTCTCTCCGTAGCTTCTCTTATTCTCCTTTTTTTTTGGTTGGTTCGTTGGTTGCAGCTTCGTATCAAATGTTATAGCCTCGCGAAGAATTTATGGTGAGAAAAGGCCGCATGAAAAACTGGATTCCCGAGCTGCGCTCGCGTTTACCGCTCGGAATTATATACATATCCTCGCGTATAATACTTGTACTCGTACTTCCAGTGGGACTCATTAACTGTCGTCGTTTCTTTTTTTTTCTTCGCGGACTCTTCTCTCTGGCTCTGTCTCTTTCTCGCGTATTAACACAAGTCAAAAGCAATCGAAGCGATTGATGATGGTATCGAAAAGAACCTCTCCTCGCGTTCAAGTTCTGCAAGTAGGTACTTTTGCGCCGCGTACCTTTACACGCGCCAAGTATAAAACGCTCGGTGGACAGAAAAAGTTTTGGATGCGCGCAGATGATCTGCTCGATTGGGAGTTTGTACGTCATTTTTATCGTGTGCAGTCGCGATAAAAAATTCGCAGCAAATTGAATAATCGACTCGTTCGAAAATCAAACTAATTTGCTCATAAAAAATGTCGACATACATGACTCGTTACTTCGTGAGTGATGGGCGCCTTCTAAAAATATGATACGTTATTATAATGCGGAATGAACAAAAATGCCGATTCTTGAATAAAATAATGATTTAATACAAAAATTTATTTAAAAAATGCTATAAAAACTACATTATGTAGCTATAAATAGTTGACGCAATAAAGATCGATCAATGATGAAAATAAATCTCGTTAAAAGTCATTTATTGTGTAATGAAAACTAGATCATTTTTATAAAATTTTTTACAAATATATTTTTAGTGACATTAAATTTTCAAAGTAAAACTGTAGTATATATGTGGTATAAAGGATGAAAGTTGAATTAAGAGTAAGATTCTGCGTGGATAAGCACTCGTGGTTGAGCCGAGGGCGGAAGTGATACTCAAATGATACTCGACATTATTATATTGCAAGGACATAACGAGGCAATGATATTTCAAAAGTTTATTTATTTTTGAGAAATTGTTCATAGAAAAATCTGCAGATAGTGAAAATAAAGAGCAAACATTTACTTTATTTCAAAAATAAAATTGTATCATCTACCTTGAAGAAAGCTCTGAAAAAATTTTTGTTAACAACTCTTTAAAACAAAAAAATATCCTTTTTTTAAATATGAATTTTAACTTTCTGTTATCTTGGAATTGCTAGCGATCCATTCTGAATAAAACCACACATTTGTGTTAACGTCTGGAAGGCCCACGAAGCCGAAACTTACAATACCTACTTGAATTCCTCTTTCATCGACTACAGGACCACCAGAATCTCCCTGAAATAATAATTAATTTGTTAAAATCTGGTATACAAACCACGAAAAAATATAAAAACCTTGCAAGTGTGGCTGTGTCCAATGCAACATATCATTCCCCTATCGAGGCCCGATCCTAAACTCTCAGTGACATCTGTTTGATATGTTTTCTGCAGTTCTTCTAAATAATCATTTTGACACTTATCAAAGTCATAAATTATCATTTTAGCCATACGTAAATCGTTTGTTGTTTCTTCGGTCACCTCCTAAGTGAAAAGTTTGTACGAATAAAAAATTTAAGCATGATATATGTATTGAATCACTCTTAATGATCTGCAAAGCAGTGCAGACGAACCATGCATGCTTGAGTGTAACCCCAACCAGTTACAACTACGGGGGCACCAACGGGGAGTAAATCTTCTGATGATGATGATGCCAACTTTACTGGTTGTATTCTATCATTGAATATAATATCTTCTGCAACTCGGATTAATGCGATGTCAGCCGCATAATATACATTTGGCTAAAAAATTGAAATACCGACTTCAATTTAATATTTTTAATAATAATTTACAAAAATAATGCCTCATAGAATAATAGAATATCAAACATTAGAACTTAAATTAAAGTTTAAGCCCACATTGTTATACAGCCCATATTAAGTTGACCTTTTAATGATTTAGTATAAATTACTAAGAAATAAAGTGTACTCACATTTGTCGTGTAATTTTCATGCATGATAATTTTTTCGACTTCATAAACGATACCGTTATCATCATCCAATTTATTCACTCCAGCTCGAATCTGAATATCTTTTGGCTCTAATAAACTGATTTTTAACATGAATTAATAATGATGAATAATATTTACAAGTATATTATTAAGTTACCCAGAATACTCGTGATATTCTCCATAATCTGAACCCTCGATCCTTGAATTTCCTAAATCAAAGCTTTCACTATCCGGACTCTCAGTACTTGTATTTTCATAATCATAATCGTAATAATTTGGACTTGATGCACTTGAATCATCTGGATCAATATAAACGCAATGTGCAGCTGTCAATACGTAGCGCTTATTTATTATTGACCCTCCACACCAATGTGTTCCATCATTCCAATGTATTTCGATTTGATATGGAAATTGGCCTTCAGGAGCTATAGACCCGTTTTTTATGGACATTTTTTCCAGTACCGTACCTCAATAATTTTTACGTAATAATTTTTTTGCTCGTCAAATTTGTAAAACTAAGAATCATGTTAAAAAATTGATCTATTTACCAGCATGGCAGCTAATAAAGATAGTGAAAATAACGGAAAATATCAGTTGAAACATAGTGACATCGACTGTGCAGCAGTAAATTGTCGAAATTTTCCTTACAGTGCTTCTACTGCCGTACTAGCCAATGAGTAAATGAACAAAACTCAAACGTAAGCAAAAGTTATTAAACGAACCGATCTACTAATTGCTTAATTCTTGATTCTTTGTCAGTAATGATGAATCAAGTTGTTTTTAGAAAGATAAGAACAATTTCTCAAAAGCCATGCAAAGAAAATTTTATAGCTTCAAATAAATATTGAATTTAAAACTTTCTCACTCCTTATTTTTCATCTTTCTTTTGGCAATACATTTTTGAAGCGAAAATTGTGGTAAAAGATGGAAGTCAAACTACAACCCTATGAGATTGTGCTGTATATGCGTGACCAAACTGTAGTTCATGCGATGTTTTTTAGATACGTTCGAGAGTAAGTTTGGTTGAATGAATATCAGTTAACTTTATTTAACAATGTACATTTGACAAAGCCTGTTCAAATTAGTCTCCCAGAAATAAAAGATATTTTTTCAGTTTACTTATAAGTGATATTTGATTGCAAAAGAAGTTAAATCCGATCAATTATACTATACGATTCGCATTAAAATTAAATCAAGTAAATACAGTCAAATTAAGATAATTTTATTACAATTTTTGCATGCCATAAATTTAATTAGCGTGATTTATTATTAACGATCCTTTGTTATTTAATACTCCTAACCAAAAATAAAATTAAAATGTAGGTTATCTTATTCAGGTATAAACTTATTCAGGTACTACTCGACGATAGGGAGAAAAAATCGTTTTTTATTTGTACGAAATGATTCATGTTAAAACTGCAGATATTGAAGATAAGTAATAATCGTTTATTTTACTTTAAAAAATACTTCGCATTAAATATCTTCATACCTTCTAGAATTTTGTTCTTATTCGTCTAAGTTGAATGGGTAACATGATTATTTTCAAAATTCATTAATAATTATTTGAGGTTTTTAAAATGAACTTTTAATTTTCCGCTATCTTGGAATTATTAGCGATCCATTCTGAATAGAACCTTACACTTGTATGTACATCGGGAAGAGAATCTTGGCTAAAACTTACTATTCCCACTTGAACTCCTCTTCCATCAACAATAGGACCACCAGAGTCTCCCTAAAAAAATAGTAAATTTAATATAACTTGTTTATGAAACTCAATTTAAAAATACCAACCATGCAACTGTACTGGAAACCAATGGAACATATCATTCCGCTATCGATAGCAAATGGTTTATCTGATTCCTCAGTTGTATTTTTTCTTTTTTCCGAGTACTCGAATTGGCACTCATCGAAATTTGAAATTGTTCTTATAGCCACGCGTAAGTCATTGACTTCTTCTTCGTGGTTCTCCTAAAAATCAAAATTAGGCAACGATTCATTTATTAATTTAATCCTAAGATTCATAAATTGAAAAATGCCCACGTACCATACATTCACGCGTGTATCCCCAACCAGTGATCATTACAGGCGCACCTACTGGCAGTACATCTTCTTGATTTTCGGAAGAAGCCAACCGTACAGGTTGGATTTTATCATTGAAAACAATATCTTCGGCGAGTCGGATCAGTGCAATGTCAGCTACCTCATTTTTGAATTTCTAAAATATTAAAAATATTGATTTCAAATTTATATTTCAAAAATTAAATTACTAAGTGAGTGATTATACATACATCAGTGGTGTAATGTTCATGTTTAATAATTTTGTCAACTTCATAAAGGATACCATTTTTATCATCCAATTTATTAACTCCAGCTAGGATTTGTATATCACTTGGTACTACTAATCTGATTTTAAGAATGGATAAATTTTAATAGTAATAAATTTTATAAATCAAGTTTATAAATGAAAATTGTATACAATTACCCAAATAATTCCTTCATTGCTTCAAAAGTTGAAATATCATAATCCGGAAACAATTGACTGAAATCTACATTTGGTTCACTATATATGCAATGGGCAGCAGTTAATATATAGCGCTTATTTATTATCGACCCTCCACACAAGTGTGATCCATCGTCAGACGATTGTATTTGAATTTGATATGGAAATTGGCCTTCAGTAGCCAAAGTTCCATTCATTATAGCCAATTTTTCCAGTACTGTACCTGAATAACGTCATGATTTTTTGCAAATTAATTTGTGAATCAAAGAATTATGTTGAAAATATTTTTACCTGCGTGACAGTTCAAGAAAAATGTGAAAATAAGTGGAAATATTAATCGTAACATTGTGGTGTCGACTGCAGCTGCTGTAGATTATTAAAATTGTACAGTCAGTGCTAGCACCGTCGTACTAGCAAACCGGTAAGTGAACAAAATTCGCACTTGAACTCGAATATAAGAAACGTTTATAAACTAGATTGATTTACTAGCTGCTTCGTGTCTGATTCTTTATCAGTAATGACAATTTAAGATGTATTTTTAGTACGATAAGTAAAATATTTAACAAAGTTATAAAAATGACATTTACAGCTAAAATTTGTAGGTGAATTAAACATTAATCGATAATGGTTAAAAAAAATCGTTAGAAGTGTCTTTCTGTTTAATGAAAACTAGATCGATTTCCGACCCTTGTTCTTAATAATTTAATTGGCATTATTATATTTTCATCGTAAAAACATTATTCAACGAAGTCTTACTATTGTTAAAACAGAACGACCTTGTAAACACGATATCTCAGTAACCGTTCAACCGATTGAGTCAAAATTTTTATGATGCCTTTTTGGCGACCCGAAGTTGGACTGTATAAATTTTGGAATAGATACGATCATTATTCACCCCTCTGACAACCCTTAAACTTTTTTAGAGGATGCTCACGATATATTAATCAGAATTTTTTTATCAATACATTGAACCCGTACCTAAATGATATGATTGATGTATATTGCGATTTTATCATCCGAATTTTTGTGTATTATTACATCGTGCCCATAACCCAGTGATTAATAAATTTCCCCTCGAGTTTTTCGAATTTTTTAAAAATATTATTTTTTCTTAAAATATATTTCATAAATGCTCTTTTTAAAATTTTTTATCAATATGATCACTCTAAACGAATTTTAAAATTAGTTGTGTCCTGCGCGTTGAATTTTTCATTACATTATTGAACTCATACTTTGTACACTCCAAGCCACTTACGGGGTAATTTCGCGAAACCCATTTGACTAATCAAATTGTAAATAACGCACTTTTATGGCAAATCGATTCCACGATAGTTTTTTCCTCGAAGCGGTACGTTTTTTGTACCGCTTTTTTTCTCTATTTAAGTCTGTGCATCCACTGGTCGCTAGAGAATGAAGGTGATTCTGATTTATTGCTTGTGCTCGATCCTGATCGAATTCGTGAGTTCGTATCTTCGTTTTTCCCTGCCGATTGAGTCGCTGATTGGGCAGATTTCCACGCGCCAGGTTTCACTTTTGAGTCATGGCAGCGGCCAAAAGCAGCAGAGGAGCAGTGAATCTTCGACAGAGATGGAAAATTGGATATACTCGCGTTTTTTGAGTCATTTACCCTGCTTTTGGATTAATATCGACAAGGATCGTGTACCGGTATTATTAAAAAAATCGAACAGTCTTTTTCTATACGTGGGGGTGGAGGAAGCCGTGGATACTAATTTCGTGAAAAATCTCAAGGTCCTAACGACGAAGTTCGCCGCTCCTACTCGAGTTTTGTTGATATTTTTCAATGGTAAAAACAATTCCTCCCGAGGATATCTAGATTTATTGAAGCGATTTTGGCAAGAGCAATTGGTCGACGCGACAATCATCGACATCTCATCGAGAGTCTTCGAACATCGTCGGAAAATCGCGATACTACATCACGAGATGGACCACGCCCTGACAATACATCATTACAATCCTTTCACGCGTGTTTATACGAATCTAGCACTTGACTCATCAAGCAGACTATTTCCCGCGAAACTAGACGATCTTCACGGTCACAAGCTGCGCGTGGGATATATCGACGAGGCGCCCCTCATTTGGCTCTACAAGAAGACGCAACAAACCCAGGGCTTGATCTCCTATTTACTTGACCTGATCTTGCGCAAGTTAAATTTCAGCATCGAGCTGGATTTCAGATCAGATGTGGGCTGGTTGCTACCCAACGGTTCAGGAACGGGACTGTTGGTCGAAATCGGCCCCCAGGGTCGCATGGATGTCATAGCTAACGCATTTTATCTAGTTGGTCATACCATTTATGTAAGGAGAAAATATCTAATACGGTATAATTGGTATTAATTTGTATACTATGAATATAATTAAAATGTATACAGGTAGACAGAACGACTTTTATCTTTGAGGAAAAAATGTGCGCCTTAGTACCACTAATAAAAAAGCCAGAATTTCAATTGAGCGACAGCATCCATTGGTCGCTGCTTTTGATCATCTGCCTCGTGGCTATAGTCTGGCTGGCGGCAATACTGCTGTTTCGTCGGGACGGTGCCTCTTTGCCACTGTCGTCCTGGCGACCATTGGACATAAGCTTGCTTACGATGGGATCGTCGATATCGGCCCAAGTCTCCACACTTCGGGAGCGGATCGTCTTCGGATGCGTCCTACTGGTGGCCTCGTTCTACTCGTCGTCGATTCTCGCTCACCTGACCAGCCTAAATTTCGACATGAATGCCTACATGAGATTCGGGACGTACCTCGACCTAGACGAGTCGGGCCTTATACCGCTCATAAATCCTTCCTTATTCAACATGACTTTTGGATACAGCAGCGACCCAACGCTGCGCAGGTGCATATTAAGCAGTATAATTATACACGTGTCATAATGTACTAATACGCACCATATTTTTTGTGCACGATCAATCGATCGATCTAATGACATTAAATCAACTACTTCTGAGCAATAAATGATATATCCGCAGATTAGGCAAAAAATCAATGATCACGAGCGAGGAAATTTGCTTGGACTGGCTTATCACCTATGCCAACGTCAGCTGTATTTTTGGACAGCACGCCATTCAATCAATGGTTGCATATTTATTCAGCAGTCAAGCAAAACAGGCAGAGCCCTGCTTCTGGTCAGCCTATCGGGTTTTAATGATGCGCCAGGGATCACCCTACACGCTGAGCTTTAATCGAATAATTCGCATCAGCCAAGAGTCGGGAATCTTTCAGTGGTGGTGGCAAATGCACCTCGAACATATTACCTGGACTCATTACAAGAACAGCGTCAACGCGTCTAGAATAACTGAGAATAATATTTTAACAGATAACTCGCACAGGAGCGTCTTATTTTTGCTTCTTGTGGGCTACCTATTGTCGCTCTCCATTTTTTTCATTGAACTGATTGTTAATTATTTCCACTTGAAGCTAACGCGTGACGTACAGAAATGTCAATAAAATAATTTTACATTTTCTCTTCCTTTAGCGAGTACTTATCCAAAAACTATTTGATATCGTAATTAATTAATCAGCAGTGTAAACCTCTATAAATTTATTGGCAAAGAGCTTACTCATAAAAAAATTATATTTTCTATTTTATTCATAAATGATAATAAAGCAATTTTTCAAACTTTTACCGTGTGAAAGAAAACTAAAATTTCCGAATAATGAAGATGAAATAGTATATTTTGCACCCTGGGAGTGAAAAACTGGAAAGTCATTATTAAAAACCTAAAGTGCAAACGATTATCTGGAGACATTTGAACGCTATTGCAAAAGTATCTTGAATATTTTTGGAAATTCATTCACATAAATAGTATTCAATTTTTAAATAATAAAGTATTTCAAACTGTTATTAATTTCTTCGCTATTGTGAAAAACCTTTCTTCTATTGTGAAAATCCCTGGGTTATTTGGAGAATAATGAACGCTTTAGGATACTTGGAAAATAATAATCATCCCTGTATCAAGTGTATTCAATATTTAACACCTGCTAAATATTGAATTCAATCGTAAACACTTTTGTTTGAATTGTATGAAATCTTGCTCAATAAACAATTAAAAATGATAATACTGAAAAATGCAAAGAATAATTATTTGTACAGTTATTACTTATGGATTGAAATATACTAATTTATTTAAATTAATTCATAATATTATAATTGATTACACAATTATTTGGAATTATTATATTCTAACAAATTCGACTATAACAATGATCGGTAAGATAAGAAAGTTTTGTTTTTCTATATGCTGTAGCCGAGAGTAGAAATTAGAGATGATGTTTTCGCGTGAGAAATTTTTTTTATTCTTGCTTAAATCGATATCTGATTGATTATATATTAGTTATAAAACATTTCATCTTGAGTAATTTTTATGATGAATATACACTAATTGGTCAAAACTCGTTGATATTTACAACCGAATTTAATGCTTTTTACAAGTTCAAATGCGATGGATGCGATGGAAGTACAGTCAAATTACGAAATTCTTACTTCAATTTTTATGATTGACAATATTGTTTATATTTTCTTCGCATGCGTATAATAAGGAGACAGGATTCATAATAATTGTTGACCATAAAATAAATTAATAAAGGTTTCATTGTATTTAGACTTATAACTCTGTTCTATAATATTTAAAAACATACAAAAATTATAATGTAGGTGATCTTAGTCATGCGTAAAGAATTACTTTAGCATAACATTCATCTATATAAGTATTCGACCATATAGTTTTCTAAGATAATCTTTAATTTTCTGTTATTTTGGAATTATTTGAGATCCATTCCGAATAAAATTTCACATTCGTGTTAACATCTGGAAGACCCTCTGTGCCAAAACTTACGATACCAACTTGAACCCCTCTTTCATCAACTACAGGGCCGCCAGAATCTCCCTGAAATAATAATAATTAATTAGTTAAAACCGAATTATACAAACCAGCAAAAAAAAAGACCAACCTTGCAAGTGTGCTGAAGTCCAACACTACACATCATTCCTTGATCGATGCCTGAAAGTTTTGTAAGCTCATCCATTTCGTTATATTCTTCAGTGGAATCCGTTTCCTTATATTCTTCAGTGGAATTCACTTCATTATATTCTTCAGTAGAATCTGATTCATCATTTTGTCTATTATAATCGTCTATGTACTCATATTGGCACATGATCAAATCATAAATCCTCATTTCAGACATACGTAAATCATTTGTTGTTTCATTATGATCCTCCTAAATAGAAAATTTATATAAATGAAAAATGTATGCGTTAGATATGTATTGATCAATATGAATCAACTCAGACAAACCATGCATTGGTATGTAAAGCCCCAACCAGTTACAACTACAGGAATACCTGCAAAAATTAAATCTTCTGGATTACTTGATGAAGCAAGTTTAACTGGCTGTACTCTATCATTGAATTCAATATCTTCTGCGACTCGGATCAATGCGATGTCTGCCATCCAAGTTACCCAAGGCTGTAAAATTTTAAACAGCGATTTTAATTTAATTCTTTTAAAGTAACATTAAAAACTATATTCAGGCTAAAATAGAGTTGACCTAAAAATGGGTTCAACCCCCAAACATTACTTTCAACATATAAGAAAAATTGTCAGAAGTTACTGTTTCGGTTGTTGTCACGACTTTATTTTATTCTATTTTTAAATGTCAAATTAATAAGTGTAAAATAATAGTAAAACAAAAATATTTTCCGATTTTTAATTTTTCACTAAGAAAAAAAATACTCACATTCTTTGTATAATTTTCATGCATGATAATTTCTTCGACTTTATAAATCGTTCCATTTTGATCATCTAATTTATTTACACCAACCAGAATTTGTACATCATTTGGATTCAATATTCTGTTCAAATAAATGAATTAATAATGATGAATTATAGATAAAAATATTTTGCTGAATTACCCAGAATACCCAGTTTCTTCATAATCAGAACTTTCGGTACTTGAATTTCCTAAATCAAAGCTTTCACTATTCGGAGTCTCAGTACTTGAATTTTCATAATCGTAATCATAATCGTCTGGATTTAATGCACTTGGATCTTCATCTGGTTCATCATATATGCAATGAGCAGCCGTCAATATATAGCGTTTATTAATTATTGACCCTCCACAAAATTGGGCTCCATTGCTACTCCATTGTAATGCAACTTGGTATGGAAATTGTCCTTCAGGAGCTACAGGCCCGTTCTTTATGGCCAATTTTTCCAGTACTGTACCTGAATAACGTGATAAATTTTTATGTAAAAAAAATTTTGGAAACTAAAATTAATCCATTAAAATGTTGTAAAACTAATTTATTTACCTGCATGACAGCTCAAGAAAAAGGTGAAAATAACTGGAAATATCAATCTGAACATCTTGGAGTTTATTGCGGCAGTGGATTGTCAAAATTTTACATACGGTATATAAAGGAAAATAGCTTACAAACTCAAATGTAAAGAACGATTATTGGCTGAATTGATCCAATTCATGCCTTGCTAATTTATATCTAATTCTTTATCAGTGCTGACGATTTTAGAAGTTTAGAAGATAAGAAAAAGGTTTGAAATGCTATTAAAATGAAATTCCTTTGTTAAAATAGTTAATGTTGTAAAGTTCAATCGATTTTGGATAAAAAATCTCATTAAAAGTGTTTTATTGTTTAATTAAAACTAGATAAATCTTTTGTTTCATTATACTAATAATTTTAATGGCATTACCACTTCAAAGTAAAAATATGGTTGATCAAAGTCATGTTTAGCATTACAACCCAGTCATTTGGCATATTTTTCATAATAAATTAGGTTCAAAATAATAGAAGCAGCGAGGTAAAACTTTCCTTTTGATTTTTCAATAAGAAAAATTCCAGTAAGTTAATTTTCAGTCATATTTATTAGATGTTTTTTATGATATACTTTATTTTTCTGTTATTATGGAATTACCAGCGATCCATTGTGAGTAAAACTTCACACTCGTATGGACATCTGGAAGGAGATCTTCACTGAAACTTACAATGCCCACTTGAAAACCTCTTTCGTCAACTACCGGACTACCAGAATCTCCCTAAAATAATGCTCAATTAGGCAAAACTCGTTTATACAAATCGATAAAGAAATACAAACCATGCAACTGTACTGGAAACCAACAGAACATATTACTTCTTGATGAATACCGGGCGGTATTTCTGGTTCTTCAAATTTTTTAAGACTATCCTGTAAGTACTCGGATTGACATTTATCGAAATCATAAATCGTTCTCTTAGCCATGCGTAAGTCATTGACATATTCTTCATGAAAATCCTAAAAATATGATTCGTCAATGAATTAAAAATTATATAAAATTAACGATTCATACATGAAAAAATATCGTCATACCAAGCATTTACGCGTGTATCCCCAACCAGCAATGAATACAGAGGCACCTACTGGCAGTACATCTTCTTTATTTTCTGAAGAAGCCAACTTTACTGGCTGTACTTTATCATTGAATACAATATCTTCTGTTACTCGGATCAATGCAATGTCAGCTAATTCAGATTTGAATTTCTATCAAATTAAACATATTGGCTTGAATGCATTCTTTCAAAAAGTAGTTTTTGGGGAGCAATTTTTTTGAAATATTTACGGAGCAAAGAAAAATACATACATGATTTGCGAAGTGTTTATGCTTAATAATTTTTTCAACTTTATAAATGATACCATTTTTATCATTTAACTTATTGGCACCAACGAAGATTCTAATAGATTTTGGATCTAATATGCTGATGTGAAAAATGAATTAATCATGATACATAGATAAACAAGATCGTACTCAATTAATTACCCATCATCCTCATTTTTTCCCTCATAATTTGATTCACCTGAACCTTCGGAAGTTGAGCTCTCAAGGTCAGAATTTTCATAATTTGAATTTGCAAGAGTTGAATCAGAGCTTTCATAGTTCAATGCCTTGGAACTAAAATTATCATAATAAAAATTTTCATTATCTGAGGTTGATGTTTTTGAATTTTCAAATGGATCATTATATATGCAATGAGCGGCAGTCAATATATAGCGCTTATTTATTATGGACCCTCCACAAAAGTGTGATCCCCCGTAAGTCCATTGTATTCCAACTTGATATGGAAATTGACCTTCAGTAGCTACAGTGCCATTCATTATAGCCAATTTTTCCAATACTGTACCTAAAATCGTGCAACAATTTTTTTTAAAGTAGCAAAACAAATTTGTACAGCTAAGAAATGTGTTTCAAATTTAATTTATTTACCTGCATGGCAGATTACAAAAAAGTGGAGAATGACTGCCAATATTAATTTGAACATCATGGTGTAGGCTATACTGCTGCAGTAAATAGTCCAAATTTTATCTACAGTGCCTACTGCCGTACTGGCACATGGGTAAATGTACTAAAATCGCACTCAAACTCGAATATAAGAATAGGCTTTATGAATCAACTAATATTCTAGCTGTTTTATGCCTGATTCTTTATCAGTGATGATGATTTCAAATGCTGAAAAGATAAAATAATGTTTAAACAGATATGAAAATGCTATTTAATAGTTAAAAACATTTCACTTAACTAACATCAATTGAAATTAAATAAAAAAATGATTTAAAAATTCTTCCTGTTTTTAATAATGATACTTTTATTGAAATTAAATTTTCACATTGTAAACAAATTATATTAAGTAAGAAAGATTGAAAGTCGAATTGACAAACCCGCAAGGGTTATACTCTTGAGGTTTCAGTAAAAATGTTTAGTTTATTTGAGATAGGTTCAATGTTTTATGCTCCAGTATTAAAAAAAAAAAAAAAAGTATTTTCAAAGTAGCATACTTTTAATAACATTTTTATGATTAATAAAATTCAAATTCTTCATATTATAGGTTTAAAAATTTTAATACATGTTTTATAATAAATTAACACAGTTCATTACTTCGATAATAACAAAGCTCTTCTTATTCAATATTCAAACTCTAACGCAAATTAAAATGTAAGTTATCCAAGTTGAATATAAATGATTACTTTATCTTAATGTCTATAGAGAGTACAAAATCGTTGTTTATTTTTAAAAAACGTTACATTAAAAACAGCAGATATCGAAAAAAAATAATAACCATGTATTTTACAACAAAAATTAAAATGTACGCTATCTTCAACTTGTGAAGGAGTTTTTTCGTTATTATTTGAGTCAAACACTTGTTTTTAAGACTCAGTTATATTTAATTAAGTTTTTTGAAGTGAACTTCGATTTTTCGTTAAATCTTGGAATTTTTAGCGATCCATTGGGAATAAAACCTTACACTTGTATGTACATCAGGAAGAGGATCTTCGCTAAAACTTACGATACCCACTTGAACTCCTCTTTGGTCAACTATAGGGCCACCAGAATCGCCCTGAAATAAAGAATCATTTGAGCAAAACTGCTTTATTCTATAATAGATAAAAAAATACCAACCATGCAACTGTACTGGAAACCAATAGAACATATCATTCCACGATCAACTGCGGGTGGTTTTTCTGATTCATCAGATGCTTTATTTCTTGCTACCGAGTACGCATATTGGCACTTATTAAAATCTGAAATTTTTCTTCTAGCAACACGTAAATAATTTGTTTCTTCATCGTGCGCCTCCTAAAAAATATGATTCGGGAATGATTTATAAATTATTGAAATGTAACGATTTATAAATGAAAAAATATAATCATACCAAGCATTGACGCGTGTATCCCCAACCGGTAATCATCACAGGAGAACCTACTGCGAGTATATCTCCTTGATTTTTTGAAGAAGCCAACCTGACCGGTTGAATTTTATCGTTGAATACAATGTCTCTTGTTACTCGAATCAGCGCTATGTCAGCCAGCTCAGATGGGAATTTCTATCAAATTAAAAATATTGTCCTCAATTTAATTTTTCAAATAATAACTTAACCAGAAAATAAATTTACATACATCATTATCGTAGTGCTCATGTTTAATAATTTTTTCAACTTTATAAACGATACCATTTTCATCATCCAACTTATTAACGCCAGCAAGGATTTGTATATCTTTTGGATCTACTAACCTGATTATAAAAATGGATTAATAATAATGCATAATAAAAAAAGCAAATATCCTACTCAATTACCCTTCGTTAGTTTCGTCAGAATAAATGATGCTAAAATCTGGAAACCATGAACTCGAATCTTCATCTGGTTCATCATATATGCAATGAGCAGCCGTCAATATATAGCGCTTATTTATTATTGATCCTCCACAAAAAGTTGATTCATCATTTGTCCATTGTAATCCAACGTGATATGGAAATTGTCCTTCAAGGGCCTTCGTGCCATTCATTATGGCCAATTTTTCTCGAATTGTACCTAAGTAACGCATAATACATTTATTTACAAAAGCAAGACAAATTTGTAAAACTATGAAGTATGTTGAAAACAAATTTTTTACCTGCATGGCAGCTCAAAAAAAAGTTGAAAAAGACTGCAATTATTAACTTGAACATCATAGTGAGGCTCTATTGCTGCACTATATTGTCTGAATTTCACGTAAAATACTTGTACTGCCGAACTAGCAAATGGGTTTATGAACAGACGGCGCATCGAAATTTGGATATGAGAAAAGGCTTTATAAGTAAATTAATCTTCTAGCTGCTTCATACCTGATTCTTTATCAGTATGATTTAAGATGTTTTTTAGAAAGATAAGTAAGATATTTGAAAAGCTATAAAAATGGCATTTTATAACTAAAAATTGTTGACATAATAAACATCAATCGATGTTAAATAAAAACATCTCGTTATAAGCGTTTTAATATTTGATGAAAACTAAATCAATTTTTCAATTCTTAAAAAGTTTTATTTGCATTACGTTTTCAAGATTAAAACATGATGCATGAAGTGACAAAGAATCAATAATCAAATTTCTTATTCTGAGAGGCTATGCACTCGAGGCAAGGGTCCAAGGTCGAGGAAAAGTGCTCGTGAATGCGTTTTCTCTTCATTCTTGTTCCAATAGCGTTTGATTGGTTATAGAATATTCATCTAACATTTCATTTAAAGACATTTTTAGTTACAAATCTACACTAATATGACGAAAATCACCGACATTTCTGACCCAAGTGCAGTTCTTTTATGGGTGGAACATTATTTTAGATCAAATAAGTAAAATCAAAAACAGTAATTTTATTTTTATTTTTATGCTTAACAAATTCTTTTAATCTATTTCAAATAGTGATTATCAAAACTGTCAAACATATCATAAAATGAATAATGATGATTCATTGTTTTTATAATTACAAGAACAAGAATATGTTATATAATATTTAAAAACAAACGAATATAGGTTATCTTAGTCATTGCTTTAACATAACATCTATGTGGAGTAAAAAATATTTTTTTTATTAAAAAAAAATGCTATTATACAAAATTAAAGTGTCAACAATTATTTTACTTATATATTAAACCGTGTAATAAGCTTCGAAGCTTCGAAGAATTATTTTTTGTAATTCTTTTGAATTGAACGCATTACACAATTATTTGTAAGATTCATCTACATTTATTTGAGATTTTTTACAATGAATCTTCATCTTCCGTTATCTTGGAATTGTTAGCGATCCATTCTGAATAGTGCCTCACACTTGTATGGACATCTGGAAGACCATCTGTACTAAAACTCACAACACCCACTTGAACTCCTCTTTCGTCAACTACAGGACCACCAGAATCACCCTGAAAAAAATAATTAATTAGGATTGGCTGAAACTTGAGCACACAACTTATTAAAAAAAATACCCACCTTGCAACTGTACTGATAACCAACAGAACATATCATTCCCTGGTCGAGCGGCATGTCCACATCAGTTTCGTTAGTTTCCTTAATAATAAATTCTAAGTACTTATGTCGGCATTGATCGAAATCCGAAATTTGTCTTTTGGCCACACGTAAGTCATTGACTTCTTCTTCGTGACTTTCCTAAAAATCAAAATTAGATAACGATTCATAAATCATTCTAACTTGACGATTTTTAAATTTATGCAGACTTACCATGCATTTATACGTATATCCCCAACCAGTAATGTATACAGTGGCACCTGCTGGCAGTACATCTTCTTCATTTTCAGAAGAAGCCAACCGTACAGGTTGGATTTCATCATTGAACTCAATATCTTGTTTTAGTCGGATCAATGCAATGTCAGCATGTTCAGTTTCGGCATCCTACAAAATTAAAAATATTGATTATAATTTTATCTTTTGAAAAATGAGAGAACATTTTCTTTTAAATAAAATTTTAAAATTTTTAATGAGAGAATAAGTGTACATACTTCATTTCCGTAGTATTCGTGTTTAATAATTTCTTCGACATCGAACAAAATAGCATTTTTATCATCTCTCTTATTAACACCAGCAAGGATACGTAATGCTTTTGGACGCAATATTCTGAATTCAAAAACAAATTAATAATGATAAATAAAATTAAAAAAGTATATTACTCAATAATTACACATAAGTCTGGTTGTGTGGAATTTCAGTAGATGAATTCTCAAGGTCAGAATTTGAACTTTCAGTTGTTGAATCAGAGCTATCATATTCAACAGTCGTAGGATTAAAATCATAATCAGACGTGGCGTCATCTGGACTAATTGTGGTTACTTCTTCATCATCTAGTGCAAAGTATACGCAATGGGCAGCAGTCAATATATAGCGCTTATTTATTATCGACCCTCCACACAAGTGTGATCCATCGAGAGCCAATTGTAAATCAACTTGATAGGGAAATTGACCTTCAGCGGCTAAAGTGCCATTCATTATAGCCAATTTTTCCAGTACGGTACCTAAATAACGTGATAATTTCGTGTTCAAAGCAAATTTGTTAAACTAAAAATCGTGAAGTAAAAACGATCTATTTACCTGCATGGCAGCTAACGAATAAGGTGAAAATAACTGGAAATATTAATCGAAACATTTTGGTGTCGGTCGAAGACTATCAAAATTTTACACGCAGTGCTTGTACTACAGTACTAGCACACGAGTGAATGAAAAAAAAACGACCAAAGCTCGACTATATGTTAAGATTTTCAACTGAATGAATCTATTAGCTACTTCATATCTAATTCTTTATCAGTAAATAATGATATTTAAAACCTAAAAATAGCATAAAAATAGTAATTTCGTAGCTAAAACGCGATGAAAATTGATTCGATGTAGATAAAAAAAGTATCATTAAAAATATATCAATTCTTGATCAAACAAGATATTTGCAGTATCGTTCACTGAGCTTTTTTGAATCATTATAGAACTCTCACTATGAACGCTCGAATAGTAGCTACAGCTTTTGTTAGCCGAGATACGCCTCACGCAGCGTCGCGAAATCATTCACGATCGACTTGTGCACGTGCTGACTTTAATCTACACACACGCAGTAGTCGTGATCGTGGTCGCGACCTCCCCCCCACGAGCACGAAGAATCGGCGCGAAGCGCATGAAAAAAAAAAAAAACGATCATTGTCCCACTCGCGAGTGCAATCACAATGAAGACATTGTATCCGTACATACGATTCTTATGAACGGCGCTCGAGTTTCTTAAACTCCGAAATAATTAAAAATATATCGACGATCGTCTCTTGCCGATCGATCGTTCCTTATATAGATCTGCTGCAGCTTTCGCGCAGAATTGCGACGAGTGCGCGCCATTCGCACGCGTGTGCCGCGCGGGCGCGGCGTTTCCCGAACCAACTACACCGCGTGCACACACAAAGAGCCGCGCCGCGTGCATTACTCTCTCTCTCTCTTTCTATGCTGTACGTAGGCCTGCGCGTGCGCGCGCGCGTACACATCCGCGTTATTATTGTAAGCGAGTAGCTGCGCCGAGCTTGCGCGCAAAAAAAGGGAACTTAATTACTCGTAATTCTCGGCCGACATTCCCCGGAGATCGATTTGCTTCAACGTATATAAGTGTACCGATGATGACGACGACGACGACGACGATGATCGCTGATCGATGGGAGCGTGGGTTGCTTCGCTCTTCCCGTGATACATATAATGATATTCCGTGTACGATACACGACATATTATGCTCGCGCAAGAGTCGAGCTTTTTTCTCGCGTACACCCGCTGATAGGCACAAAGGGATTACGAGCTTGAAAAAAAATAAAATAAATAAGACCGATCTCTTTCATAAATTCTCGAGTAAGAGCTTTAATAGATTCTCGCTTAGTTATATGTACCACCAACGTGTATTATATATCTCGCGGGGAGACATTTAACCAATTACGTGACTGGTAATGTCATTTCTTCCGTGGATCTAAGCGTTTACCAGAACATTCAGAGTACTTATTTCGACTTATATGGCTGTGGAGGTTGCGACCATTAGCGTATTTGTGTGTATTCCTAACTGTATGGATTTTTGCATTAAATCAAACGTTCGCCACTAATTGGTACGTTTGAAGTTAGGTTCGCAGAGGAGCGCGGCCTATTTAAGGGAGATAAGCTATTAACTTTTCATCATATAGCCGTACATCGTTATAACGAGTGCCATACGTCATACGAATTAATTTTTATCAAAAAATATCAAACAGACGCTAAATAACCAACGACGCGAAACGATATTTTGTTGCTTTCAATCAGACACTCGTAAAACGCTCGCGAGCACGATGAGTAACCTACCGCGCATACGTTACAAAATCAACACATGCAGCCACATGGATAATTCAAGCGAGGCTAATAGAGTTCAGTAGAGCCGCTCGCTCGCTCTCCACGTGATGATCATTCGAGTGCAAAACAATTTGTTAACCATATATATTTATATATATATATATGCACATGTATATACCGAAGCCGCGCACGAGCCTTAATGAGTCGTTTTTCATATTTCGTATTTGTAGATAATTATTTTACGTCCGTCGTCAGCGGCGGCGTACACGCACGCGGCTATGCGTCGATTATATACATCGTATTAAGTGTTGCTCAATTAATTCGCGGATAACTTTGTGCCTAATTTGTTACCTGCTTCTTTCATTCTTTTTTGTTGTTGTTGTTAATGGTCGAGTCGGACCCGCGCGTACGCGAGAGCACGCGTATACGCATACTTATATTCTTTTTACTCGTGAAAGGAAGAAAGAAAGAAAGAGGGAGAGGGAGGGAGAGAGAGAGAGAGGAAATAATTGAGTTTGCGATGTTTTTCTCGCGCACGCTCATTGTGAAGTATGGAGAGACAGCTAATGATGATGCCATTTATAGATAGGATATGGATTGCCGAGGCAGCTTTCGCATTTTCGCAAAGAAGGGGGGGGGGAGGGAAAGAGAAGCAAGAGTAATGTATACCATCGGTCAATCATATTATTATACATGAGAGGGAGGAAAAATTTCACGACCGACTGCTTAATTGCACTTTGTTTCAAAAATAAATTTCTCAACCCTCTCCTTGACTCGGAGTACGAGGAGGAGGTGTATAATAAAATTAAGACCTTGGGTCAATGCGCAACGATTACGTTGACTTCGTCGTCCGCGTATTAACGTCTTACACGTGTGCGTATATACGCATATATTTCACGAAATCGCGCGGGGCGCAGCTGCAGCAGCAGCAGCACACAGTGCAGTGCACCCAAGTGCTCATATCGATGATTATTCAAGCACGAGCTCGAGACTCGCGAGATATCGTATTATATATATAGGAATGCGTAAGTCATGCACACACACACACATACGCGTATACGCGATTAATGCACGCGTGGCCTGGACACGAAGCGCACACGCCTTGCCTTGGTAATTGGCTCTCGCTACCGCGCGCGCATACATGTATATATACCGGACTGCACCTGCGACGGTGGCTCGACTGCAGCAAACGCGCCACAATAAGCCTATTCGGGTATACAGCGATCGCGTCGCGCGGCACTCGTTGTAACGGACGAGATCGATTCTTATTTATGTAAGAGCATCGTGCGCAGTTGCAGGCGAGTTACGTCTACGTATACAGGCGCATCGCAATCCGAACGCGACACAAATGAGGAATCCAAGGATCGCGAGCTTTTTTACATGCGGTTTGATCATCGGACGTTATTCGAGTTTTCGAGCTTGCATTGTATATGGCACATATAGCTAGATTTAGAAACTGGTATAAAGCAATTCTGGTTACTTGTGATTACTTATATATTTATATACTTATATAATTATTTTGACTTTTCTCACTTTCAGATTTACAAATAATAGTACTCACCATCTAGCGACGGAGACTGAAAATAGAATCATCATATTTTCAAATTATTTAAAATACGCAAAATCGTAACAGAAAAATAGCCAAATACAAAGTAGTTATAATGATTTTTTTTGAATATTTTAAATTTTCATTTTTCAGTCATTATTAATTAATGTTGTGCATTTGTTTCAGGAAATATTCGACACTTTTTACATCTTTCATCACCGCATAAAACTTTGTAACATTTTTACGGTGCACGAACTCTGATTCCTAAAAATAATTACAATTAAATTCATCGAGTCTTCAATTTGAAAAAGAGAAAATGAAGCAATTAAAAACTAAAATAATTAAAACGAGAGAAAGAAAATACTTCGTTCCCGGAGAACTCTCTCTCTCTCTCTCGCGCTCGTTCATTTTTCCGAGTTCGCGGAAACTAGTTTGAACGCGGAGTGAGGTAAAAAAAAATAAAAAAAGAAATCGCGCAGCCTGGACTCTGCGAACGGTATGCGGTCGCGCACTGATACCGGGGGCCGCACACGCCGCATATTTTCGGTCTTAGACGACACTACATCGCCGCGATCGTCCAATTTAAATTAAACCAATAGCAAATTTGCCTCTGCTATATTATGTATCCGTTTATTTATCGATACTAATTACTTCGCGGAATCAATTCGGTGGTTTACCTCTTTATCGGAATAAACGATTCACGTTTTATACATATACCAGACTCTGAATTTGTTTTTAAATTTACTCGCGATCGATTTCACATCTAATTTCTCGAATTCGCCAATGATCGCTCATTGCTCACTTGAATCGGCGGATTCATTCGAAAGGTAATCGTTGCGTCGTTTCGTGGTTTCAAAATTTGCCCTCGCGAATACGAGTCAATCCGATCAAATAGCTAACGAACAAAGAGTCGAGTCGAAATTTTTTTCTCACGCTTTTCGAAAAATATCCGCACCAGCGCACGAGACTTTTGTCACCGCGCATAATCGTAGTTTACCCGACTAGTACGTATAACTCTCTAGCTCTCTCCCGTGCGCGGGGCTAATTTACAACGTCGAAATACGCGCGCGCGCGCACTATAATACGTATACCCTCTCGCGTCCTTATCCTCTCGCATCCAGTGTCACGACAAGCAATTTTCGCCTGTTTCGCGCGCAAGAAAGGTAGAAAAGCCAAGTTTTTTTTGGCAGGCTGCGGAGCGCACAGTCGTCGTCGCCGTTGTTTCCTTGTTATGTATATTGTAAATATAAAGCTCGCGCGGACTCGAGAGCCCGCGGGACAATAACCATACCTCGCGCATCTTTATACACGCGTGGACGACAAGAAAGAGAGAGAGAGAGAGAGTCGTAGGTAGGTGTACGTATATATATCGAGAGCAGCAATCTGTAAAACGTCAAGTCGAATTCCGGCACTGCGCGAAGCCGAAAAATTACAGTTATGCTCCCTCGCAGCGATCTCGTCGTATACATACGCGTCGCTCGGTTAAAGTTTATCTTATTATATTATTATGCTCGAGGAGGAGGAGAGAGAGAGAAGGAACTTGGTCGAGTCTTACACGGTACAGAGGAGAAAGGAACTTTTTATAGCTTGCAAAGTTGGAAAAATATAAATTATATACATAATTATTCTACGCGTCTCTGCGTATGACGAGTCTATTTGACTCAAAGACAAGTCAAATTAAAAATAATTTTGCAGCAATCAAATGAAATAAAATTTGAGTTTGGATTGACAGTCTGCTTGTCTGATCTGATTCCTCATTTCTATTT